CTGCCGAGTACTGATGCGCTGGACGTCGGCTTGGAGTTTGCAAGAGGAGCCTTGTCATCCTCATGGAAATTTGCTGTTTGGACGAGGCTACGGCGATTGGATGTGCCAATGCTAAAGTCGTGAGATGCTGCAGGTAAGACAGCTTTGGTATATATAGGTGTTGCTCAGAAACTGATTTGATGATAGGATAATTGTCAATGACGTATTAGATACTGAAACTTCTGCGCATGCTCCTCCCGAAATTTGTTTACAAACATCACTAAGTTTTTCCCACCTGGAAGATCCACTGGAGATTGTCTGTGAAACTCTTGTGTCCCTGGTGAGTCTCGTCTCCTGAATCTGGTAACTCATATTCAACACTGTTAACAGATAAAACTACTGTAATAATACATTTACTAGCAAACAGATACAGATATATCTAGGAAACACTAAAAATAATACATGTGCTGTAGTGCTTATAATGAAGAGACAGCAGGGGCGGACAAGGACAATATGTCAGGTCGGGAATTTTTTTCAATCTCAGGTCACCTCTGCTGCTATTGTGACCACTACGCTACCCTTTTCATGAAATTCTCTGACTGCTAATATTGTACTCTATTGTAAATGTATTATTTATTGTACCATGTAGACTACCAGACAAATTATTAATATATAAATGAAAGAATCCTCAAAAACTCAATAGGCTCAAAACTTTCTGCACACACTTTTTTTTTACTTTTACTTTTTTTTACTTTTATTAGATTTTTGGTTTGCTTGTTTGTTATATAAAAACCTTGACTTACTAAGACATGATGCAGCAATTCTATTTACTTTTATTTTACCTATTTTATTCTTTTTAATTTATAGCCTATATAAAAACACATGCTGTAGCCTACTGCATTAGACTAAACGAGATATACTGTTGCTCATTCGCTAATTTTTTGCATATTTTTTATATGTATCTACTGTAAGTTCAATTTAGATGAAAACGTCCACCTGCCAAATGATTATATACAGTTGAAGTCAGAATTGTTAGAATTATTATCACATTAAATACTTTAAACACAGCACACTGATCACTTTATACACATCACACACTGGTCACTTTAAACACCACATACTGATCACTATAAACACCACAAACTGATCACTTTAAACAGCACACACTAAACACTTTAAACACCACACACTGATCACTTTAACACCACAAACTGATCACTATAAACCACACACACACTGATCACTTTAAACACCACACACTGATAATGTTTTATCAGCACACACTAAGCACTTTAAACACCACACACTCATCACACTAAACACCACACACTGATCACTGTAAACACCACACACTGATCACTGTAAACACCACACACTGATCACTTTAAACACCACACACTGATCACTTTAAACACCACACACTGATCACTTTAAACACCACACTGATCACTTTAAACACATCACACTGATCACTTTAAACACAGCACACTGATCACTTTATACACATCACACACTGATCACTTTAAACACCACATACTGATCACTATAAACACCACAAACTGATCACTTTAAACACCACACACTGATCACTCTAAACACCACACACTGATCACTATAAACCACACACACACTGATCACTTTAAACACCACACACTGATAATGTTTTATCAGCACACACTAAGCACTTTAAACACCACACGCTGATCACTCTAAACACCACACAGTGATCACTTTAAACACCACACACTCATCACACTAAACACCACACACTGATCACTGTAAACACCACACACTGATCACTGTAAACACCACACACTGATCACTTTAAACACCACACACTGATCACTTTAAACACCACACACTGATCACTTTAAACACCACACTGATCACTTTAAACACATCACACTGATCACTTTAAACACACACACTGATCACTTTAAACACCACACACTGATAATGTTTTACCAGCACACACTTAGCACTTTAAACACCACACGCTGATCACTCTAAATACCACACAGTGATCACTTTAAACACCACACACTGAGCACTTTAAACACCACACACTGATCACTTTAAACACCACACACTGAGCACTTTAAACAACACACACTGAGCACTTTAAACACCACACACTGAGCACTTTAAACACCACACACTGATCACTTTAAACACCACACACTGAGCACTTTAAATACCACACACTGAGCACTTTAAACACCACACACTGATCTTTTTAAATACCACACACTGAGCACTTTAAACACCACACACTGATCTTTTTAAATACCACACACTGAGCACTTTAAACACCACACACTGATCACTTTAAACACCACACACTGAGCACTTTAAACACCACACACTGATCACTTTAAATACCACACGCTGATCACTTTAAACACCACACACTGATCACATCTACTGCTCTAAATGCTGTTAACTTTTAACAGTGTTTGTCATTTATTAAATGTAACACTTCAATCATTTAATATCATTTATTCACAATGATGCTGGATGCTCACTGAAGACATTTAAAATCTTTTAAGATGAAAATGTGAGAGAGCACAAGCATGAGGATAAAAGCTCCTAGATTGCCTGTTCAGCTGCTGTAGTGTGTAATGTGGTAATGTTAGGGATGTAACGATATTAAAACTTAACCGAAATATCTCAATACACCAACCACGATACGTATCGCGAAACTCTCGTGGTGTACCGGGGTACTCTCACGCCCCCTGCTGCCCATTGTTGAGGTTGACGTCACTTGTCTCTAACTAATTGAACCAATTTAAACACATCTTTATCATCACATTTGATTAAATTGTATTAGTAATAATGAGCTTTTGTTCTAAATATTATATAGTTAGTATTTTCCAAGTGCATGTCATGTGACATAAGTGATCGATCACACTCGGTTAATACTGTATGCAGGATGGCTGCTTCACATAGTACTGAGACTGCAGATCCCCCCGACACATTTACGTCACCTGTGTGGGAACTTTTTGATCTTCCAGTAGAGTACAGGAATGGAATTCATGTCAAAAATAAAGCGCACGCCTCTCTGTCTTAACTGTTTCACAAAACTTACTTATAAAGAAAAACATTTAAAAAGTGTGGTAATTTTACTATGTGAGGGTATAAGCAAAAGACTGACAACAGTGATTTAATGTACAAAAGTGAAACCAGAATAATGCCCAAATATATGAATGCCCGCATGCTTCTCTATACTGAACTGTAGCAGGGCCATAGATTTAGGGTGGACGGAGGGTATGTGTCCCCACCAATATCCTCCGACCATTGAAATGTCCCCACCAATAATTGAATCCACTTAAAAAATAGCGCTGTCTGTCAATGTTGACCTAGACATGAAGAAAGGGTTAAATCACGTTCTCTCCTTGAGTCCTCCCGCCCCAAAACACTTATGGACATTTTGATTGGCTATGCCTTTTCCTGCTGTCATGTGAGAGGTTTGCGTTTAGATACAAGCAGAGCCAAATGGAGTGAACTGTTTTTCCGTGCAAGCATAAGGTGTGTTGAATGACACACACACACAAGTGAGGATTGCGGCAGCAAAAAAAAGAAGGTGGACATAAGGAGCTTTTTTTCAAAGAAAAGTGTAAGTCACTTCAAGTTCAGTAGTGAATGAGTCCATCAGAGTAACGATATCGGTTAACGTTAATGCTAGTGTTTTTTTTAACCCCTTTGATGCACATTCATTATAGCAGGGCTAAAAAACAACAACAGATAAAACAGCTAAATGTAAAAGTATAAATAAGATCCCTGTCACTTCTCCTAATCTAATGACAAATTTGTCCTTGTTCAGAAATCAGCCTGAAATGAAAACTGATATGCTAGTTGCATACTAATATTACCATGACTACAAATTTGTTAACAGTTCACCAATAGACAATCCACGTTGCACAAATTGTTTTTAAAATGCATTCACTGACCTGGCAAACATTAATGATTTGATTTGAGATTTGCACACTAAGACTAAAATAAAAATCATTGTAATTTATATGGCATGTGTTTATCCTATTTTGTCAGGTGACAGAACCGAAACAACTGTGCTGTATATCTGACAGTGATAGAGAGAAGGATGGAGTGATGGATTTACAGGTGATGTTGAATGATGACTTGATATTATTGTACCTAGTTGTCCCGAGATTTAACATTGTTACTAATGATAGGCTAAGACATTCTCTGTCAATACTCATAAAGAATGCCTCAATGTTTTTTAATAGGGGACAGAAGCAGATTAGCCCTGTTGTAGATCAGGTGAAGAGGCAAGGTCACAGGAGGATAATCTGAATGTTGATTATATATAACGTATAATGTGTGTGTGTGTGTGTGTGTGTGTCTGTGTGTTTGTTTGTGTTATACATGTTGATTATTCTAATTTTCAGCATTATGAGGAGTGATAGGCTGATACAAGATATTTATAAGTATTTTTGGCAAAAGTTTTGAACTGACAAGTTGTCTCACTTTTTTGTCACTATTTCATCAGGTGGCAATCCTGCCAGGTACTAGTGCAGTCAGAGGAGAACAGTTAGTGTTAAAAGTGAGGCCTATTAAAGGCATTTTTCACCCAAAAAACGCAAAAAAAACTTGTGACAAGTGCAGGATAAATGATGACAGAATTTAATTTTTTCCGTGAACTGTGCCTTTCAGCACATAATCATGGTTTTAATGTAGGGATAAAAAGTATGTTATCTAAATAAAATGAGTGGTGTGTTCTCAAAAAAGTCACTCATATGTCTCATCATAGTCAGTCTTACAGTATGACTAATTGTATAGTGTGGTTTATTTCTAAGGAAACTGGGGGGTATTCCAGAAAGCAGGTTATGTGACATACCCGGGTAAGTTTGAGAGTAAGTAAGTGGATAACCTCAGCTTTCGGTTCCAAAAACGGAGGTAACTTTGTGGGTATGTATGTAACCATAGCAACTCACTCTCTGAAGATAACCTGCTCGGTAGCAGGTTATGTTCCAGTGTAAGTTTGTGTCAGAAGGTAAGCGAGCATGGCGTGCCCTTTTGATGAGGATCCTGTGGACGTAGAAGCTCAAATTATACGAGGTTTTTTTCGCCGGGAGAGAGTTATAAGACCACGTATTGATGTGTTTTCATACCCTAATGATTATTTGAAGGAGCGTTATCGTTTTTCAAAAGAGTCGTTAGTTTATTTAACACGTCTTTTAAAACCGCATATTGCGAACGTCACAAACCGTGGTTCTGCTCTTAGCACAGAAAGCATTCTGTCCATAGCACTAAGGTTTTTTGCGTCTGGCCATTTTTTGTATAATGTAGGTGATGCAGAGCATGTGGGAAAGGCAACTGTTTGTAGAGCCGTTCGTACGGTATGTCTGGCCCTTAAACACCTCTTACCCACATTTGTACAGTTCCCTGGCCACAAACCTCTGCGTGTTATTAAGAACGAATTCCACAGAGTGGCAGGTTTGTTCTTTGAAGGAAAATCTATTACGCATATTTAACATGCAGTCTTATTAGTTATATCTATACATGTTTTCTTTATGCACACTTAATACTTCCATAATTTTGTTTCAGGGTTACCAAATGTAATTGGGTGTGTTGATGGCACCCACATTCCTATTAAAGCCCCTTCAATAAATGAGGGGGACTATGTTAATAGGAAATCTACTCATAGTATCAATGTGCAGGTAACAATTTCCGTGTGTCCTTAATTTTTTTTGCCTTGTTAAAACCATTAAATTGTAATATTGCTTTTTTCCCACCAACTAGGTAATATGTGAAGCAACCCAAATAATTACAAACGTCGAGGCAAAATGGCCAGGATCTGTGCATGATGCCAGAATTTTCCGCGAGTCATCATTATGCCAGGCATTTCAGCAGGGTATATTTTGCTTGATATAATGAATTATTTTGTTTTATTTATTTATTTATTTTTTACTATATTTGTATTACACACTTTAATCATTACAGGACAGTACAATGGTTACTTGCTGGGGGACAGAGGATACCCTTGTCTGCCCTATTTAATGACACCCTACCCTGAACCTGAGCCTGGACCACAGACACGGTTAAACCTGGCTCACAGCCGAACAAGAGCTAAGGTGGAGATGACCATAGGGATTCTCAAATCTCGGTTTCAGTGTCTGCGTGGGCTCCGGGTCAGTCCAGAGAGGGCATGTGACATCATAGTGGCTTGTGTTGTGCTTCACAACATTGCCACTATAAGAGGAGAGAGCCTCCCTCCTTGTATTGAGGGAGATGGCCCAGAGGAACACCTAGACATTTTAGAGGCCAACAGAGACGGAAGACTTTTGAGAGACAGGATCTGTCAAAATTTTTTTTATTAATTTTTTTTGCACTGGTTTGCCAGACAGTTCATTTCTTTAATTCCTGAAAAACAATAAATGTACAATTCAGTAAGATTTTTTTTTATATATATTACTTTATACACACACAAACTTAACATGCAACAGATTAATATTCACAGTTCTCACCTTAAGGCGATGCTCCAGTAATTGAATTTCAAGTGCTGCTTTTTTTATAAGTAGCCTTTTCTCTTCCATTTGAAGCTGTATAAGGTCCATCTCCATGTCACTTTTACTTATTTGTTTCTGAAGATGGACCTTATACAGCTCTTTTGCTGGCAACTAGGAATGGGAAAATGTATAATAAATGAGATTGTTTGGTCAGACAATAAAATTAAAATATGGACAACTGGCCACAAGTTCTTACACTGCTTAGATTATGCGTTGAGGTTGAAGGACCCTCATCTGTGGGCAAATCCCCAGGTATGTACTGTCAAATGACAATGACAATGAGTTTGTTACTCTGATGCAAAGGCAGCCATGCATTATAATGGTCTGCATTATACCTCAGTGGGCCTAGGAGCATTGTCCACTTCTGTCACAGCAGATGTGGTCTCTTCATCATCATCTTGATCATCCTACAAGAGAAATATGCAAGTTTACATCATCTGACAAAAAAAAATAAATAAAAAAAATAAAATAAAAAAGCAACTAAAGGTCCCTAACAACAAATTACTTACAACTGTGACCGACCGTGTTCTTTCTGGAGGGTCCAATAACACAATATGTCCATCAGTATCTATATGAACACACAACCATTAAAATTATGTATATTATCAAATAAAACCAATAATACATGAAAGAGTAGCATGTCACAATAATACAACCAAGATCACAGTAGTCTATACATCATATGCAGTTAAATAAATAAAAGCTTGTATAAATTAAGCATGTTCAAAAAGCCTTTAAGTGACAGAAATAGTGAAGTGAAAAAATGAAAACAAATCATAGAGGTAAACTTACATTTCACCATTTTTTCACCATCACTTGTTGTACATGATGAACTGCCCCCTTGAATGCCAGCAACCACTGGTCGTCCTTTATTAAGGGACAGAGCCAGCTCCTCACATGGGGTAAGGGGAGGTGGTGGTGGACCCCCGCCAGTTAGACGGGCTTCAGCCTTCTTTCTATTAGCTACATGACAGAAAGAGTATACTAAATAGTGTTTAATTAATAGTTCAGTAATTGTGTAATGAAATATTACCTTTTTGCAGAATGTTTTTGTGTTTCATTTTAACTTGGCTCAGAGTTCTTCTGGCTCCAGAAGGATTGCACCTTATTAAATAAATAAATGAAATATATATATAAA